ACAACAACTCCTTGACTGTTCTTGAATGGCCCAGCCAGAGCCCTGACTTAAACCCCATTGAGCATCTCTGGAGAGACCTGAAAATGGCTGTCCACCAACGTTTACCATCCAACCTGACAGCACTGGAGAGGATCTGCAAGGAGGAATGGCAGAGGATCCCCAAATGCAGGTGTGAAAACTTGTTGCATCATTCCCAAAAAGACTCATGGCTGTATTAGCTCAACAGGGTGCTTCTACTAAATACTGAGCAAAGGGTCTGAATACTTATGACCATGTGATATTTCAGTTTTTCTTTTTTAATAAATCTGCAAAAATGTCAAAAATTCTGTGTTTTTCTGTCAATATGGGGTGCTGTGTGTACATTAATGAGGAAAAAAATGAACTTAAATGATTTTAGCATATGGCTGCAATATAACAAAGAGTGAAAAATTTAAGGGGGTCTGAATACTTTCCGTACCCACTGTATATACACTGCTCTACAAAGGCAAAGAGCAGTAACTACACAAACAATGAAACTGAGAAAAACACATGTAAAGTTTTTGGACTGTATGACAAGTATGTTGTAGGTAGATTAGTGATAATGCATTCACACATTTTCTTCTTAGGAGGAAATTTTCATGTATAGAAACCACTGATGTGATCCATGACCCTAAAAAATGCAGATACTGTACTCTGCTTTGGGATGACCTTAACCAAGTACATGGGTATTGCGAAGGTAAAGCACAGTACTAGGGGTTGCATGAGTTTTTAGAGTCAACATTTTTGTTATGGAAGTCAAGTCAACGCCAACTAGTCACTGATGACATCATCAAACCCTAGCTTTAATGGGTTCTCGGTGTCACCGGACCAGTTGTACTATAATTTTAATCATTGTTAATTTTATCTGAAACTGAACTGAATCAGGACACTTAGTCACAAAGCAGATGTCACAGAGTCAATTTCCAGTCTTTCCTCAATTTCGACCAAATGTGTAGTTACTGCGCTTTGCCTATGTACAGCAGGTCACATTCCTACCATAAAAACTGAGGAGCCAGCAAGGGATCAGACAAGGTTGCACCAGGTTCAGGTTCTCAGGACTATATTGGGGTCAGAGCCTCAGGGCTCCCCCAGCGTCTCAGGGGCTGTCTGAGGGTCAGGGTCTCAGATCTGATCTGTACTTTCCCTGCTGCTTGTGTTTCTGCAGTGACTGATCAGCTGGTTTTTCTTCAGACTCACGCCCTCCAGACTGAATTCACAGGTACAACAGCAGCCAGTGTTATTGATCTGATGGATTATTAGTCACTAACTAATTAGTTAATTAGTGACTTAGTGATTAACTAACCCTAATGATTATGTCACAGGTGGAGCGGAGTTGGTGACTGGTCGTCACATTACCCTTACAGGTGACAAGAATTGATACATAAATCAATAGGTTGATTAACAGTACTGATCACTGATAGAAACCTGACTCCGAGCTTTGATTGGTCCCAGCTTCAGGTGTTGGACTGGGCCATGACATCACAGGTAAGACCTGTTGCTGTGGCAACCACAGATTAAACCCCAACACTAAAGACTTTTTCTTTTTTGTTCTTGTGAAACACGAGTCTCAGCCCAAGTCGTGTCCCAGTTCAAAGTCTGCAGCCAAATTCACACGGGGCCAGAGGAGATCGGTCAGCACTCTCAGCAGCTCTCATCCCCGCTCCTGAGGGACCAGTCAGACAATATCCGCCCTTTGTCGCCACAAACAAGCCCTTTATTGATTTACTGCTAGCCCTGCCTGTAGCATCTTGATGTATATAAATAATTGTTGCTGACAGTTTGTCTGAAGAAATATTCCTTAATGCTTGTAGAATTCTCTGCATACCTGGGGGGTCCTTACATGTACATACATAAGGACACATCACGATATGTAACTAGATAAGTGTTCTACACTAAGTTTAGTTTTATTTTCTAGTATAAGACACATTGGATAACAAGTGTGCACTTCACTACACTTACCTGAAAAGGTCTGGTCGGATTATTTTGTCACAGCATCTTAAGGTGCACTTGTGTCCAGCAGAACCACACTGAGTCGTCTGTCCTCAGGACTCCCCACTTCATTCCGTAGTACAGGAGTCTGGATGTGGTGCACTCTGTTTTCAGAAACAGCGTTGAGTCTCATTAATTCACCTTCAGGGACTTTCTTCCTGTTACATGATCATGTGTTACAGAGTCGTCTCCTGTCGTCCTCCAAACAGAGTCTGCAGACAGCTTTAAAACGACACTGAACTCAGGTATATTTGTCTGGCACATACAGTACCTGTCCACTCACCTGTCTGTCTCCCTGTTACTGGATGTTTTTGGTTCAGTTTCAGGTGTTTATTCCCACACAGACCTGGTTACCATGGCAACAGACTTGACAGGGACAGGTAAGCCCTGCCCTCCAACATGGCTGACAGTGAATGATTTTTGCAAGTCAAAAGGTCAAAGCTCAGATGTGTAGTTTGTGTGTCTGTAGCTTCAGCAAACCCAACAGGAGGTCCACTCGACTCCAGTAAGTTACATCTACTCACACAGGAGCAGAAGAGGAGTTTAGTTCAAGTGTATGACAGTCAATTCTTCTTCTACTGTAAAGATGTGTGTTAATGTGCATTTGTTTCAGGTCATCCAGCTGTGACAGACCACACACAGACAGCTGGTAAGTTTTACACATGTTCAACACAGGAAACCAGACTGAAAACAGTTTAAAATCTGTTTACAAAGCAGTTTAAAACCAGTCCAGAATTGGACCACAGTATCAAGGTTTAGGTCAAAAGAGTAAAAAAAAAAAAAAAAAAAAAAAAAAAAAGAAAGAGAAAAACCCACTGTATCCAGTATGAAGCTCATCAGTGCTGAGAGGTTCTGGTTGGAGTGGATCAGAGTTTAGGATCAGGTGATTTTAAAGCTTCTGGTTGGTGGTAACTAGTCTCATTAAAGCAACAATACATAAATTTACAGTTTTAAAATAATTTTAATCCTAGACTGAGTCCGAACTAGGTGAACAGCATCTCTGCTATTTCCACTGTGCACCCAGGTTGTCTGTTACTGCACGTTTGGACATAATAACTTACTACAATCACCTACTGTGATTGTGGACAAGCACTGCAACAAGATGCAAACTAAAGTACACACCTAGCACTACGGAGTATGCACCACCAGAGCCCAGCCACAGCCAGGAAGAAGAGAAAAAGATGGCAAGAAACCAGAGAGGAGTAAATATGAGCCTGGCTTTCACTCACTGACAAGTGCTAAAAATAACCCTGACAGGGTCACCAGCTGTTAATGGCTATTGTCCTAAAGTTATCTGCTAATGTGAAAACACCACCACAGCAGTGTCCAACCCTGCTGATGTGATTTATGAAACACTTCAGTGTAGGTTTTAATCCTATCGAAGTCATTCCTCATCTCACGAAGATTTGCCGTTTTTTTTCCAGATGAATAAAGTCATCTACCTCTGTCCTCCAATAAATAAATAAATTCAGCTTAAGCCAGAAAGTTTGGTCACTCTTTGCCACTGTCATGCAAAATAAGCCTTAGAAGTTCACAGCCTAACAAACCTATCTCAACTATACCTTATGATAAATTACTCTCCCCAATGTATATTTTGTGCAGTATGAACCCATATTGTGTCACCAACGTGTCATTCCATTACACACATCCACATTCAAATGCTTAGCAAACTATCTGAATATACCAGCAGTATTTCAGTAAAACTAAAATATCCCTGGTGTTATTCTGAGCGATCACATTAAATAAACCTTTGCAGAGTCATATTTGTATAAAGTCCCATATTACTTTACCATTCTTTGGTTTCTGACGTTTTCTTTTCTGATTCAGTAACAGCTTCAACTTGTAAACAAATGTAACAAAGCAACTGTAGCGGGAGACAGAGCGCCAACTTACGTATTGTTGCTTTAATGGTTAGGGTTAACTACTCTTCATCTTACCTGAGATCAGGTGCTGAAGGCTTGTTCGCTCTCTTTTCTTGGTTCTGTTTGTTCTCCGCAGGTTCGGTCACTGAACAGTACAACCCATCTGGTCAGGGTCCTGAAGGTTCGTAAGCACACAGATTAGTCAGTGTAATAATCTTTACAGCAGCACTGGACAAATACCACTGCACATTTGGTACATTTAGTAATGTTATGTGAATGTTTGTTAAAACATTTCTATGCCTCATCCAAACTGAACGGGGTAAAATAAACCCTTGTTCAAGCTCAGTAATAAGCGACAAGGACTCCCACCTTATTGTAAACTTCAGTCATAGCACAGAGCTGGACCAGGAAGCCAGTTCAACTTAGTCTCTCTGTGGCTTCACTGAGTTATCTCAGATAACCATGAAGCTGGTTTCAGCCAGTTCTGTGATGTTGAGATTGTTTTTAAAATGAGAGTGCCCATGTGAGCGAGGCAGAGTTGTGAATTAGAAGCAATGGCATAATGTTGGCTACATTTATAAGTTCTGGGCTAACCCCTTACACAGATGAAGTCCATCCAGCAGACTCCATCTCTTATCTAGAGCTCCACAGGCTTGGAGCAGCTGCGTATTACCTAGTCATAACAAAATGAAGAATTCCATGTGTGTGTGTGTGTTGTTGTTACGTGGTGTGTAACTAAAACAATCGTTCAGACCTAAATCTAACACAAGATTAATACAAGAAAACAATTGGTGTCATGGCTTACTGCTAACCTTGAAACACAGTAGACTAGAGCAGACTTTGAATCTTACTAAACTGCATTAATAACACATTAAAGTCTAATAATTATCTGACTGATTTATTAATTTCTAACAGAGCAATGAATACACTTCATATGAGATTAAAGGGCGACACTGCAGGTAAATTTGTTCAAAGCAACAGAAAACTTTAACAACCTACCAACTGTGAACATAAGTGTATAACAGATATAGAATAAGAAGCTGCAAAAACTGAAAAACTGGATGTACTGTCCATCAGGTACATCCAATGCAGGCATACCTGTGGGGATTAATGCACAGCTCTTATTGAATGAGCATTTTTGCTCTTTTTTTCTGATGAGCAAATGTTTGAACCTAAGATGCAGATATAACAGAGAGAAAAGTAAGCCTGCTGAGGTCATTATTTTTATTTATAATTAATTAGTATGTGTGTATTAAAGAGAACCAGGTTTAGTTTTTATTTCCAGTGATCATCACAGTTTCCTCATGTTATTCTGAGCAGACAGAATAACAGTAAATACATCTGTCACAAATGACTTTGAAAGATGAACTATTTAAATGCAGTTTTAATCATCGTTCTGTAGTTATTTGGAGGTAAACTGTTTTTAAATCACAGAAACATATAGAGTGTGAAAAGAAAAATGATTTGACATTTGTTAGGCTCCTGTAGGAATGCTGACTTAGTGTTTCCAGTGATCAGATTGGTCAGCGGTCAGGCTGCTGATCCTCTGAGTTGACTGGCTCATGTTAGCTGTGCAGCACCAGCTACCATGGTGATCTACCTGGTTAAAAGAGAGCCAACTTTGTGAAACCAGAAAATTACACTTGAAAATTACAGCTGAAAAGTCAAAGGATCCAGCTGCAGTAATTAATGAACACCCATACAACATCACACCCGTGAGATGTTGTATGGGTTTCCCCACCCAGAGAACAAAACAACAAAGCAGATCTTGTTATATTTTTGCTGTTTTTTCACCTTATATAGGTACATATATTCACTTACAGTACAGGCAGCCAGATCAATACTTCATGCCATATTTTGAGTATCAGTAAAAAACAAACAAACAAAAAAACTTAAGTTTGAAAAGTTAAAACCAAAATGAAATATTTTGTGTTTTGATGTCTCAGGTGCAGAAAATGTGGAACTGGAGGATACCTGCTGACTTCCACATAAAGCCACGAGTTCAAGTCTTGCGCTACCAATTCCAGTGTACCGACCAATCAGCATGGACCAAAACAACCAACCCCTCCCACTAGCTGTAGGGCCCACCCACTGAGAGCTGCAGCTTGTTGGTGTTTTGGTTTTTATATATTTAAAATGATTTCTTAAACAGACATTTGTTTTAGAATCACCTGAGTGTAAGTAAAATAAAGTGTAAAAATAAACCTGATTCTCGACAAATGCTTGGTTTTGACTTGATGACACTATACAGGATGTGACTTCATCTTCACTGTCAGGGTTGTAATATGTACTTTTAATATTCTGCAATAAATATTTTTGTCTACTTTGAACATCAAACCGTTGATGTATTTTTTCAATAGGAAATCAGATCAATTTGTCAATAATATTAATGATGACACCATTACCATCACCAGGTACCGGTACCATGAAGCAAGATCAGTGGCTTATCCAGCTTTTCCTGTCATAGCTTACGTTTTGCAGTACCACAAAGATGGCTCACTTTTAAACAGGCTAAATCACCGTGGTAACAGATGCTGCACAGCTAAGCAGCTCCGAAGCAGGTTAACTTCAAAGAATTGGGATCAGAACTTGTCAACAGGGTTAAGTTTAACCCTAAGCCGAGCACTGACCTATCAGAGGACTGGAAAAGCTGAGGACTCATTCCTACTGAATCCTGAGAGGGATAGTCTACACTGATGTGATCAATAATAAACATATTTCTATAGAGCAGTCGTATGGTTGTGCTGTTTCAGGTTTTCATGGGTTGCTGTGGTTTAAGTTTCTAACAAACTGAGAGGGGCTACAGCCTAAATGATAATTTACACTAGATTTTAAAAGCACAAAGATTATTTGATTCCCGACTGAATTCCTGACTGTGTCAAAGTTTTTACAGGCTCCATTGCTGCAGCTCAGAATAACATGAGGACACTAATAACTGAAGTACTGAAATCAACTGAACGGATATTCAGTATTTCATTCATGGCTTGACGTCGCTTCCATTTAACAACTCAGCATCTTCTGTAGACTAACAGGAAAACCTAGACTGAACAGAACCAGTTCATAACCAGCTTTGTGTTACCGGTTATCCAGGATGACCAGTGTCTTAATTTTATTTAGGTTCTTATGAATAAGTCCTCTTGAGGTGATTTTTGATTGATTTAATTTAGTTGGTCTGTGGCAGACACAGTCTCTGTGGGGTACTGGGAGTGTTGGATGGGTAGCAGCTGTAAAGAGATACAGAGAGGTGTGTAAGACTGTGCTGCCTCATGGACTCAACTCTGGGTTGTCATAATTCAGGTTGTAAAATAAACTCGTCCAGATTTCTAGATATGAGAGCCGCACCATCCAAAGTGGGATGATGCCGTCTCTGCTAAGCAGAACAGGTTTTCCCTAAAATGTTTTCCAGTTGCCTATGAAACCCACGTGGTTTTCTGGGCACCACCTAGGCGACCAGAGGCTGAATGACAACATGTGGCGCTTCCAACTCGTTGAGTCTCACCTCCAATGCTGCTAGCATCTGACATTTATTACAAGTACCATTATCGCTAAAAGAACATGCACTGACACTGGCACAGTGAACATACAACACTCCGAGCAAGAGAAAGGCCAGGAAGAGACGGAAGCCATTGCTCTCAACTAAGTTACTAGCTTAGCTAGCTGATCTAAAGTAGCAAGTTAAATTTGGTAAATAGCAAAAACCTATGTAACACAGGTGCGACCTAGTACAGACACATGTCGTCAACTCAAAAAATCAGAGAAACCTAGAAAATAGTGAGCTTAATCCTTAAACAATCTGGTAGCAAGCACAACACGGTGACGGCACAGAAAACAGGAAGTGAGTACAATTACCGCCGGAACAGGAAACAGCAGCCCACATGTCCGAGTTATAGTTGCATCTGGTGACCTGAAGTGATTTTAAACCTCCAGTGTGCTGCAGCTCCATTTCTGCACACACCCCGGTCAGATTTTAAGATACTTATTCAACTATCTGCTGCGTCAGATTCAGTTATACTATCAGCATCTGCTCACAGAGATCTGTTTTCATAGAGCTGTTCTTACTAAATGTAAAGCTCTCTGTGTACAATTGTTGTGCCAGAGGTGATTCTGATAGCCAGGGCCTTGTTGGCTCTAATTTGCATATTTACTAAACTCCACAGCAAATTAATCCCATGCTGAATCTTTAATTCACAATCTGTTTTAGATTCTAGGCAGATTAGATTGTGTTAGATTAGGCAGAATGATTTATTGTATATTTCCACTGGGTTTTAGGCACCAGTGAGGAGTGTGTTTTCACCATGATGCAGATTTGACAAAGTACTAACTAGCTCCATCCACAGCTCTCAGATTCATGTTTATGTAACAGAAATAACAGAAACATATAATAACACAAACTATTTATTTTTGGATCAATTGCTTCATGAATGACACCTGATCGGATTATCAGAGCTCATATTGATCCAGCTGATGCTGCCTGGTGCCATGCTGTGCCAACAGTAACAGATGTTTTGGGGGAAGAAGTTAAACACTCATTTATAATAAGCTTTTCCAAAAATATTCTGAATCTCTTCATTATATTTACATTTTACTCGTGAAAATGATGACAACCATAAACTTCAACATGCAAAACAGAAAGAACACCTGGGCACATGATCTTGCCTCACCTGTCCACCTCTGTCATCTACACTGACATCAGAGCTGTTTCTGACTGGAACGGCAGCTACAGACATGACCCTGGTCCAGCTTTTCTTTTACAGTGTGCATCAAACAAACGCTGTCATTGAAGCAGCACAGAAGAACCAAAAGCTAAAATAAAATAGTAGAAGAAAACACAGGTATATAAAGTAGTAATGTCAATAAATAATATCTGCTTATTAAACCATGACCTTTGACCTAGTGACTGATCTACAGATTGATTTTATCATCTACTGTTGCAGCCGAGTCTTCGCTCAAACTGTCGTGTCGCTATGGTTATTGATGAGTCATCACATTCCTGATGATGTCAAAGGTCAGAGTCCGGGTTGGTGTGGCTCAGCAGGGCGGCGGCCGGGTCATCAGCGGGCTGGTCCGAGTCGAAAAAAGGCTCCGTTTCCAGCTCCAGCAGGGACGGCAGGTCAGCCCCGCTCTCTCCCAAGCTGATTGGTTCAGACATTAGGACAGGTGTGGCTGTGTACTGCACCAGCTGCTTCCCTGAACCAATCAGAAAGCGGCAGAGAAACAGCATGTCAACAGGTCAACAGAAAACACTGACAGGTGTACACTTGCATGTCAGTGTGAAGGCCAGTTTAAACTTTATACCATGGAATTGAGGACATGTTGGCCAGTCCTCGCACCTTTGAGGGGATGTTTGAGAGTTGAGACCAAGATTTAGGGTTCAGGTTTAGGTGAGGGTTAGGGGATGCATTATGTCAAAGAGTGTCTCCACAAACACAGATATAAAAAGGCTGCTCTGTAAATTACCCGTGTTCCCAGTGTTGGTGCTTTCATCATTTCCTTTAGGAGCTTCTTCAGACAGCAGCTAAGAGGAAACAGTGACATCACAGTCAGACAGGTGTGACAACAACAAACCAACAGGTTGTTGTATACATCAAAGTGTACCTTATTACACCCGAATGTAAGAATTTATACACTTGTACATGCATATGTGGTCAACAAATAGCTGATTTTATTTTGAAAATAACAGAGACCGGATGTTCAGAAACAAATGAACGCAAAGTAAGAGCATGTGTAGTTGAACTCACAGTGTCCAAACTTTCGAGGTCAAAGTCTCCACAGGAACCAGAGGAACTGAAAAACTACACAGACAGTTAATATAAACACACACATGCGCTGTGAATATCATATGCCTGACACCTGTTCACTGCAATGTTTGTTCACTGCGAACATGTTCATTAACATTCATATAAAAACACCATCAGACTGACCTCAAAGAGCGGGGACGTATCGAAGGTGAATGTTTGTGTGTTGAGGATGCTCTGAAGGGTTTCAAGACCGCTGTCAATACTGTCGACGTGGTCGGACAGTTCAGACCTGCAACAGACAGACATGATGTAGCATTACAGCATCACTCTGGTGTTTTTCTTCTTGTCAACAAACCAACAATAGCACTTTGACTTCCTGTCTGGATCTTACTGGTTCCTACTGAAGATCTAAATCTTTTAAAACACCTCACAATGTACACAGTCCTAGAGAGCAGAACACTTCCAATCCTGGTTTGACTTTACTTGAAGACAAGAAGGAAAACAGAAATCACCAGAGTCTTACTTTAAAAACTGACTCATATTAAAATGTTTATTGTTTATAGATTCAATGATTCACTTGTCAGCTTGTGTTGATATGAAGCGCCAAACATCAGGTGAGAGTCCACCTGCAGAGGGAGGGGGGCGGGGTCTGAGGGAAGCACAGGGGTTTTAATGACACACCTGACCTTCAAAAGAACTAAAAACTTAGAACTGAGGTAAAAATACAGGTAGGTTACATTTATATGCTTAATTACACATCGAGAAACACAACAGCTACTACAACAAGGGCCAGGTAAATGACCAGTTCAACACAGAGTAGGGCATTAGCAGGTGTCAGGGCAGCAGGGACAGGGGCCAGGATAGTTGTAAGCTGCTGCAAGGTAGCTATTAGCAGGTAGAACAAAATACACCTGCAGCCACCCTGACTGATGTGAAACACGTTATAGACTTACCTGTCGATACAGGCAATGGTCTGACATTTCTGCTGATGTGTGGCAGGGCTGGGGGCAGTGGGAACAGAGGCAAGTGATTGGCTGGTTGGGGCTTCAGAGAGGGACTCAGTAGAGGCAGGGCTCATCACAACAATGGGACTGGCTAAAGAAGTGACAGACAGGTCACAGAGGTAATCAGTCTTTTTGCCAACCAAAGAAACCTCTATACAACAACCAGGCTTCCTGTCAGCTGATACCTGGTATAGGGTTGGTGGTGGAGGTGTCGGGAGCTGGCTGCGTCTCATCCTGTAGGATGGAGTTGATGAAGGTGGTGGGGGAGAAGGGCGTGTCTACAGATGTAGCTCCACTCTCTAGAACGGGACACACCTCCACTTCAGGACTGGAAGGCTCCTCTTTGATGCTGACTGACTGGCTGTCTCTGTCATGAGATTACAGCATTAGTGACTGCTGATGGATCAATCAGCTACTGATAACAGAAGACATGCTCTGACTGGTCCTGACCCTGCGTCCACCCAGTCACCAGCCTCATCCTCAGCAGTGGGTGTAGCCACCTCTGTGATGTCCGAGATGATTGGTCCAGATGTCACTGGAGGGTCAGCGGAGAACAGACTGGCTGCAGCCTGAAGAGGCAAACACGGAGATTTAACATCAACTATTGATGATCTATTGATGAGCAGTGATCAGGTTCTTTCTGTTTACACAACAACAACAGATTTCTGTAAATGTCCTAAAACACAGCATGAGTTAAACATCCTCAGTTGTAAAATTTCTTCTAACAGGTTGAGTTAGTGTAACTTCAGCAGAGAATCGACACAACGGAGTTACCAAAATACAAGCAGAATTGACTTTGGACATCAGGATGCAATCAGCTCAGACTAATCAATACAATCAATAACATGAGAGATGACAGTTTGTGAATTAACTACAGTGACAGTGGAAACATGAGCAATTATTGCATACATAGGTCTGCAGCAGGTCGTTAACATGTTCCTGACCTGAATTAGACAGACTGCATCTGTATGAAGTAACAACTCAGGATAAACTCTGTAGTAAATGATGACATCATTCTCCCTCTAGGTAGGAGCAAACATATAGGAGACTTCAGACAAGTCGGTGTCAGGTTACCTGCATGTGCTCTAAAGAGAATTGCCGACTGTATTTAGGCACGGAGTGGGCGGAGCTGGAGTCATTGAGCATCAGAGGACTGCAGAGAGAGATTTGGACTATCAGCTACATGTTCAAGTCCTTTAAAGGGTCATTACACTATTTTTATACCTGAAGTCCAGAAAGGATGCAAGGTAGCAGAAGCAGGAAATGGTACTCCAAAATAAAAAAAGCTATTCTGTAAACTCACTACATTTCACAGTGAAGCTAAAACTCTTAAAACTGGAAATATCTGGCTTTAATGAGAAATGTTTCACAAAGTTTAATGATTCAAATCATCAGTGGAATAACCCTACAGATATCTGTGCCTTCAACTGTGTAGTACTGTGAACTCTAGACTAAAACTGTACACTCTGTAGTATTTGTAGTGCATTGTGTATAATAGTATGCAATATTTGCAGTTTTCTAGTTAAGTGTATACTATTTGTAGTAATCATTAGTAGTCAACAGTGTAGTATCTGCAGTAGTAGTTGCAGTAAACTTGCATCTTCCTCTTGACTCCCATGATCCTGTTGGTTTGGATGAGAGACACCAGGAAATGGATCAACTGCAGAGAGAGAGAAGAAGGTAAGCTAAAATGCTACTGTGGAGACAGCACAGCTGTTAGGATTTTGCTAACAGACTCTGAACCCTATGCAAGTGTGTACAAGTGGTGTTTACCTTGTTGACGACTTTCTGCTGCTGAGCGTGTTTCTGCCTCAGGAGTGCCATCTCCCTCCACAGTGCCTCGTTCTCACTAAAACACACAGGGTTAATAGTCAGGAGACCTGCTGTCTACTGGACTACCTGCTGGACTACCAGAAGATGTTCAAAGGTTCTGGTCTGTTTGTCTTTGTGAACACACAAATGTTTGTTTTAGATCCTACAGTTTTACAAAGAAAGCCCCTGACCTGGCTTGACCTGGTCTGACCTGGTTCTGGATCTGGATCTGGCCTTACTGTTTCATGGCAATGATCCTGGAGTCAATTGTCTCCTGTTTTCCCTTCATCAACTGGACATCGTTCAGGATCTTGTTCACTTCATCTGCAGAAATCTTCACTTCCTCCTGACGCACTCCAGGCACCTGGACCAATCACAAACAGACTGTTGTTAATAATAATGATAATTACCTTTATTTGGCCAAGTATGTTACACGCATAAGGAATTTGTTTCCAGTACAGAACCGAGGCAGCCATCTGCAGCACCAACTCACACTGATGGCTCTAACCATCGGGGGCAACTTGGGGGTTCAGTGTCTTGCCCAAGGACACTTCAACATGTGGACTAAAGGCACCGTGATTCGAACCTCCAACCCTCTGGTTAGGAGACGACCGCTCTACCCACTGATCCGCATTCGCCCCGTTACCATGTTGACCACCCACAGGACAGGTGTATTTACAGGTATGCTGTGTATGTAAGTGTATACAGGTATATTCAGGTATTTATGGGTGTTCTCACTGTGTACAGGTGTGTTACAGTTTCATACAGTAGTGACTTTTCGTTTGATGTTCTCCAGCAGGTGTTCCTGTCCTCTGATGAAGAACGGATGTTGGAATTCTGTGTCGTCTCTCTCAGGTTTCACCAAACCGCCCTGCTCAATGTGTACCACCTTACGGAATCCATCTGTAGAGAAGTTGATTCACAGCAGATTTGACATCATCATTCAAACAGTCAGTGTTCAGTTAAACTGTTAGAGGTCCAGACTGGAGCTTGTTTAATTTCCTATCTCACTCCTTTTGAGTTAACCTCTTTACTGTGATGTGGATGAAGGTAAAATCCTGCTGACCTAGGACAAATCATTATTAACAGGTGTTGTTTATACTCACACATGTTGAGCTGTCTGATGAAGCTGGCCATGTTGTTGTGTTTGAAGAACTTTGGTAGGACCTCCTTAGAGAACCGACCCTGATCAAACACATGGAAGCTGGTTCCACTCTGAAAAACAACACACAGATAAACAGCTGTTAACAACAAACACAAACTTCAGCAGAAGTCAGATCTTCAGCCTGGCCCACATGTGGTCCACAATCAGCATGTCTCAGTTTAACCGGCTGAATGTGGCTTAGTTAAACTGGAGCTCCCAGAGGCAGCAGCTAACTGCAGATCAGTTTACAGGCTGATAGCTGAGAGGTAATATGCCTCCTGGATTGAACCAGACTATGATGAGGGGTGAGTATCAAACAGACACACTGTTGGTAGTCTGTGGTCTGTCTCTATGTGATAATGTAATTTTTATTGGTTAAGAGAGAGCCTTCATGTCAGTGGAGTAGCGGTGACACAGGGTTAGGGGGTTCTACTAAATATGATTACATGTGTAAATTATCAGGGACTCAGTGTTAAAGCAGTGCATGTGGTCTGTCTGATCCAGACTCACAAGGTTAAAGGTTCATCAGACTCTGCACAGAAACACACACACACATTTTATTAGGTACACCTATACAGCCTTAACACAGTCCAGAGCATCTCCTGTTCTGTCATCTGTAATGTTCTCTTCTGGCTGTTAATTCTGTTCTGTGATGGTAGTGTACCGGGCTGCATTATATTCCATGGTGTTCTAATATTCTGACCAGAGTCTCAATGTAACGTAGTCCTCTAAAATAGCAAGTTTAACCCTGATCTCGGTGATCCACAGATACTGAGCCATAACTGTTCTGTAGCAAACTGATGTTAAACAGCTGTTCCTCTTCACTGGCAAACCAACAGCTGATGGACTGGGGTTTTGTCTGCGGTCTGATCTGATGTTAAACACTGTTTAAATTAAACAATCTTACAGCAGCTGTCTGACCGCTGATCTCATTATCGCTGCTAACATTAGCACGTTAGCTCAGCTAATGTACGTCACAGAGAGTTAACCTGTTCAACCCAACAGAGTTTAACCACGAGCTGTCTTCATCGTTAACCCCTGGCCAAATTACACTCTGTTTGCTAACTGTTAGCCGACAGATCTTTTTTTTGACTAAATGAATACCGGGCTCCAACAGATGAGCGGGTCGGTGTCCGGGTCCTCCACTAGGATCCATAGTTTGTTGAGGAAGGCCGGGACGTTCCCTCCGCTCGGCAGCGCACCCCATCCTGCTCCTGGATGCTCCATCAGATAAATAAAATCAAACACACGAAATTATGAGCCTGAAAGAGTATAGCTAGGTTGAGCTAATGATGCTATCTGTTAGCATGCTGTTAGCGCCACTCGCTGCTCAAAGATCTCTAAACTGTATAACGAGTAAACAGCGATATGGAGTCGAACTGCAGCCTGATCCAAATCACACGGCGTTCATTCCTAGTTCTGGATTCTGTCCTGCCGACCTACAAGTGGTTCATTAAACTTGTCTATTACAACTCTGCCATGAAAACAAACAAATCCTATCAAGCTAGCAACTGCGTAGCGATCTTGCTGGCGCAACCTGGTGACGTCACATTAAACGTAACGTGAAGTTTGGTCGCGTTGTGACGCAAACAACAGTAATCTGTAGTATTATTATTATTATCATCATTATTATAGAGCAAACAAACAAACTGAAGTAAAAAGGAGCACTTCTGGTATCATCCACCTGAACTGGTGGCTTTAAAGGGGGGAAAAATGTATCAATAACGTGGAAAAGAAATCCTTGTCCTTGTCAGGGAGGCAAAACGCCAATACAGCAAGAAAATATCTGGACACAGCCTCAGTGATTTCTTTGGCCGCTTTGAAACACAGAACAACACACCAGCACAGAAGACCATTCCCCCACCCCCGGTCACAGCAGGCAGCAACATCTCCAAGACCATCACGCTGAGCACAGGGGCTCCGCAGGGGTGTGTACTCAGCCCATTGCTCTTCACACTGCTGACCCACGACTGTGTGCCAACCTACAGCACCAACCATATTGTCAAGTTTGCAGATGACACGACTGTAGTTGGCTTCATTACCAATGATGAGGCCAACTACAGGAGTGAGGTGTGCCAACTGGAACAGTGGTGTAAGGACAACAACCTCTTCCTCAGTGTGGGGAAGACTAAAGAGATTGTTGTGGACTTCAGGAGAAAACCTCTAAAGCATCCACCACTGACCATTGACGGTGCTGTAGTGGAGAGAGTGAGCAGTACCAAGTTCCTGGGAGTGCACATCTCTGAGGACCTCTCCTGGACCAACACCACCACAACACTGGCCAGGAAAGCTCAAACACGCCTCTACTTCCTCCACAAACTGAGGAGAGCCAGCGCCCCACCCCCCATCATGTGCTCCTTCTACCGGGGTACCATTGAGAGCATCATCATTGGCTGCATCACTGTGTGGTATGGAGCCCATACTGCCAACTGCAGAAGGACCCTGTAACCCATGGTGAAAACAGCCAACAAGATCATCTGTGCCCCTCTGCCTTCCCTTACGGACATCTTCAACACCTGCCTCACCCGCAGAGCCATCAGCATTGCTGATGACACCTCCCACCCCGCACACTCTCACTTCAGACTCCTGCCTTCAGGGAGAAGGTATCGGAGTCTTCAGGCCCACTCCACCAGACTTACAAACAGCTTCATTCACCAGGCTGTGAGGATGCTGAACACTGCTCACTACCTCCACCCCTCTGCCCCTGGACCGTAACCCACCACAGAACATAAGATTAAAAAAAGACTACTTGTTGCACAACTCAATACATTCCCCCTTAAAGGCTGAAAACCATTATAAAGCCTCATCCGGTTCTTTCAAACCAGGAACTCAGAGGGACGACTCAGACCCAGACCACTTGAGTATATAAAAAATATATCCGTGCTGGTTTATTCAAAAAGTCACAGGCAAGAATTCACACTTCAAGTCCAGAGATCTTCCAACCCCCAGCCTGCCAAAAGCAGCCCGGAAGCAGAAAGACCCCGAACCAAGCATTGCTATACAATATTAATCCTTTCTGGGCTGTCGAACCGTGACGTCACCCGATAAGCAAGCCTTGCAGCTGCTATAACGTTTAGCCAAAACATGAGGAAAAGTCAAGGTGCGTGACTGTTGTTTTCGTGGTGTGTATCTAAAACAATTGGACATAACCTTACACATTAAGACAAATATTAAGACTAGCATTACAGTTAACACTAACAGCTCTTTTCCTGTAACCTTGACGTGCCTGCAGTCTACACTGCAGGCTGAACAGTTAACAGCCCAAGCTAGTCACCCTGTCTGCACTAAACATTCATAGACAACAAATCTCTGAATATCTATCTAACTAAAAAATAACCCAACAA